ATAAATTAATAATCATGGTCTTATAAAATAAATTATATATATATATATATTGTACCAAAATATAATAATATTAATTAAACATATTATTTCACACAGCAATATTAATAAATAACAAAAATTTAAGACAAATTAAAATTATAATACAATCATAAGAATTTACATTAAAATAAAAACTACATAAATTGAAATATTACATATTACAATACTAAATCTCTTTACTAATTTTGTCAATACCATAAATTAATATGTGCATAGTGTTTAATTATTAAAGTTTGATGATCATAATTAATTATTAATAAAATTGAGCACTAAACTGTAAAATAAGAAAAAATAATTGAAGGACACCATTGAAGAACCATCCCTTTATCATTTTATTTTAAAGATGAACTTCATAAAAAATGAGGGACTGGTCGGAGATGGTCTCATGCAGAAACAAATAGGATGTTGATTAGTTTTGTCAAAAAAAAAGGCTGTCAGATTTGTCTTGAAGATCTTGGTGGAAGTTATAATCTGGTAGATATAGCAATCATAAATTTGACAGTAGTTGATATATGGCTATTATGACAACTCTGTCCTATATGTCGTGGTTTGGTGATTAGCTTGTTAATCATATTTCTGGTGGTCCTTGATTTTGAATAGATAACCTCTACTTTTTAGACTGTTAGCTAATTGCAATTAGGATTCCTAGCTACTTTTCCGATGGGATTCAAGAAAAAGAATATAATTCTTTCACCGGTCAGAAGAAACATTGACATTGTGGAATGAGCAAATGAAAAGAAAATAGCTGAATCCAAAATGGACATAAAAAAAGATCGAACCGACTGTCTAACCAATCTGAACCGCAAGTTAATAGCAATGAAATTCATAAATGGTGGGCTATTGGGCCGTAAAAAGGCCAGTCATCTTAAAAAGTAGGAAAAAAGAAAAAAGAAAAATAAAAAAAAAGTCAAAGACCGGCCGGGCACATTGCTACGGCGTAGATACGAGTCCGACGCGCGCAGAATCAAATAGAGAGAGAGATCAAGATAAAGAAGAAGATGGCATTGCAATGGCTGATTCTAACGTATGTGGTTGCTGCGGAGGTCGTAATCGCCGTGATCTTGACTCTCCCATACCCTATGCTCGTGAAGAAACGAATCGTGTCACTTGTCTCCCTTATACTCCAGCCTGCCGCCTCCATCGTCGCCTTCGCTGGATTTCAACTCCTAGGTGATCACCTCTCTCTCTCTCTCTCTGGTCTAATTTCTCACTATTCGGGATGGATATGGTCTTTTATTGTTTGGGTTTGAGTGATTTTGGTTTAGTTTGGTATGTGCTCATGTGAATTGGTACGTTTGTTTCAGATCTTTACTGGAAGAATGAGCATAGACTAATGTGTTCGTCTGAGGTTTGCACTGCTACAGAGCGTGATCGCTACGAGAAATCCGTAAGTGTTTCAGATCTTTAGCTGAAGATTATAACGAGGTAATATCATCCGAGGATTGAATTTAGTAGTTACAGTTGTCTCACGGCAATTAAGTTCTACCAGGAAAAAAAAACGGCCGCATTCGTGACTCAAATCAGGACGTATTACTTTTTTTCGTTTCTGATTTTCTGAAGCTTACAGTTTTGTGCCCAAAAACATTCTTGATTCCCAAACTTACTATAAACAGCTCTTACATGCCTCGAACCAATATGGTATCGAAGCTTTTCGTTAACATACTGAATCGCTTGAGATGAGGCACGAAAAAGCAACACACCTTAGTTATATTAATTGCATATTTTGTCACAGACTCGGAGGGGTTTTAGTAGTACCAGTGGTTAGAAGTAGTATCTTCTATTGCATAACTTAGCTGCGGTTAAGAAGCTCAAAAATGTTGCAAGGGTAACTTGTTTTAGTGGAACCATCAGGATTTTGATAGGTTTGTCAGAATAGAACTGGTGTCATCTTTTCTTTATGTCCTGTTCCTGTGGATGATTTTTGATGCAATTTAACCGTTCCATCTGTTACTGAAACATTGAGCTTGAATCAATCGCACGGTGTAATAAACATACTTACAAGTTTACTTATGTGTCAGATCTACAAGGCTCAGCGGAATGTGGTTCTCTGTGCAGCTGGAATCCTACTCTACTGGTACATCATCAACTATCACACACCTCATACTTCACACTTACGTAGTTAAATTGGCTGATATTCTCTCATATTCACTGTTAGGTGTATTTTCCGCATCTGCAAGTACAACAAAGACCTTGAGCATTTGGAGGAACTAGAGAAGAGATGCAAGGCAGAGTAGTAGTCTCTATAACTCTGGTTCTTCTGTTATAGATATTAACTTCGGCCTGTAAGTAGTCCAAAGACTGAAACAAGACCAGGATGTATCTAGATAAATCTTTCCACTGACCTTGTTTTGTGTTTATACCTCTTGCAACTTTGTGTTACTTTTCAAGACATCACTATTTTATTTCATGTCCCGAATTGACATTTACATATATTAACTTTATAGATAACTCACAAATATCTGTGGATTGGATTGGGATAGCCCTACCAGAGCCAACCGAAGCTCTTAGTTTTCCGAGGTTTTTGATGGTCTGGCTTGGCTTTGAAGGTCAATCTGCCTTGGATGTAACCTGTCAACGACTCAAAATTATTTGTTCTTTTTTTGGTGTTTTTGGCAGCTAAACTTGCTTATTGAATGAAGCCGGTTTGGAACACTATATCTAGACCGGTCTCAATAGCTGGACCAGGACTCCCTTATTTTGTAGCCACAACACACATGATCCCCTGAAACAAGCAACTGAAATCACCTCGAAATGATTTGAGGTCGAGGACCCCAACAGAAAATCGGCCAGTTACGTATCTGGCTAGACAGAAACAACAGTCACCACCAATCAATGGGCTTTCAATTCAGACGAACCAGCCCCCTTTTAACATTTTGAGCTCGAATAAATTAACATATTTAACGAAATAATAGAGAGAATAGCTAGGGCTGAGCAATCGGGATCCCAATCGGATTTCGGTTTGGGTTCATTCGGGTTTCGGGTTTTCGAGTTTATGAATTTCAGCCACATTCGGATATTATAAAAATCCGGGTCGGATTCGGTTCGGGTTTAGTCGGGTTCGATTCGGGTTTAGTAACATGTCCAAGATCCGGTTGAACCCGAAATAGTTTCGGTTTCGGATACTAATCGGGTTATCGGTTCAAAAAATATTAATTTATACTCAATTAAACTCACTATATTTTCAATCATTTTATTAAATTTGTGTATTTAGCGTCTACAAACCATATTGTTCTCCTTCAAAATAATATTGTGAAACTCATCTATCAACTATATAAGATTTGTCACTGAACTATATGTGACAACACTAAACATATCATGATTAATGACAAACCAAAGCCTTGTATGAACGAAATATAATACATAATGAAACATAAAAAATTAAAGTTAACAACTAACAATTCTATAGACATAAGAAATACTATTTAAACTTTAAAAAACAACATTATATAAACTTCAAAACAAATTATTCGTAACTTAACTTCAAATGTAATGTCAATCATAAACATTAATATTAACCAAATAACACTATATATTAGACTAAATATTTGAGCTAATTATTTATATCATAACTAATTATTGTAGGTACTCAATAATATATTAATCTATTTTGGAAACATATTAGAAATTTCGATTGGATATGATACAAGTTTTTTTGGAATTTTAAAGTTTCGGGTTCTTTCGGATATCCATTTAAGTTCGGGTCCGGTTCGGGTAATACCCATAACCCGAAATACCGTAAAACAAGATCCATTCGGTACTTATGTCGGGTTCGGATCGGTTCGGATTCCTTTTTATCGGGTCGGATTCGGTTCGGATTTTCGGGTTCCGTCTTTTTTGTCCAGCCCTAAGAATAGCAATGGAAATGGAAGCATACATGAACTAAACTGGTACGTGCCTACATATCGTAGGTTATAGCGGCTTCGTCCGCTGTTAGAGCATCTCCAATGTATTACTCCATTTTCCACTCTAAAATGGAGTAACTCCAAAATGCAGTTGAGTTTTACTCCAATGTATTACTCCATTTTCTACTCCAAAAGAATATTTTTAATATTATATTTATTTCAAAATTAGGAATATCACCTTTCATTTATACTATTTGCAAAACAGTCCACTTTAAATTTATAGCATTTCTATTAAATACAATATTAACCACAATTAAATTTTTATTATATAAATAAAACTACTCAACAATGTTTTGAAAGAATACAATAAAAATTACATTATATAGCTCAAACACAATAATACATCAATTCTAAATTATTCATGAGAATTATAATAATTTTCCCACAAATGATCAACTAATGCATTTCGAAGTAAAAAATGAGCTTCTTTATCTTTGATTTCTCTGAAATGGGAAAGAAACTTTTGGAACCTCACATTATTATTTTCTTCAATTTCAATTTTCCTTGACATGACTTCTCTTTCAACTTCAATTGGCACCTCNATTATTTTCTTCAATTTCAATTTTCCTTGACATGACTTCTCTTTCAACTTCAATTGGCACCTCGAGATCACAATCATCTTCTATTATCATGTTATGTAAGAATTTAATAATATTTTATCGGATTATTTTAATAATTTTAATGGATCCGAAAATGATTTATCGGATTATTAAGCAATTATATTTGTTGTAAGTTTTATTTATGTTATTTCTTTTGTATGGTGCTTATCTTTCATTTTCTATATGTATGATCTTTTATGTTTTATATTATATATATTATGTTGTATAAAAGAGTTCATCAGATGGTTATTTATATAATTAAAAAATATTAACAGTAAATTTTATAATATATATAGTAAAATAATATTAATGCACTTATTTATGATAATATTTTTATTAAAGACGAGGCTATTTATATAATTAAGAAATATTAACAGTAAATTTTCTAATATATAGTAAAATAATATTAATATACTTATCTATAATAATATTTTATTAAAATGAGGCTATTTATATAATTAAGAAATATAACAGTAAATTTTATAATATATATAGTACTTATTTATAATAATATTTTATTAAAAATGAAACATATATAAATGTGGATGACTATTTGATAAATAAAAAAGATCAACTCCATTTTGGAGTAATGAGTTGGTTTACTCCATAGTTGGAGTAATGGGTTTTGGAGTGGGGTTGGAGATGCTCTTAGTACTTGTCTGAACGAAAGTTAAGTATGTAGTTCAATAGCAATAACTTCACCTTACACAACCGTTTCTACGACAATTAAAAAAACAAAACCAATCATGATTAAGCACATACTATTTCCCCAAAATTCCTCTTTTAAATAGTAACTTAATTGATCATCCAGAATCAAAATCTTTTAAAAGTAAACCAAGTAACCATCTTGTCTTGTTTAAAAAAAAAAATTTATATCGCTTTATAATCATTTTCTATAGAATTTACAAAAAAATTAAAACCATAACTTGGTTATTTTATTTTTCCTAAAACCTTTTTCTTTATACAAAATTTGTATTTTTCCACAAACAAAACCAAAACCCTGACCTTCAGAACAAACAAAAAGAGAGATGGATGTTAGAATATGAGGGGCAATAAAATAAACTATGGGGCTTCTGGTTCAGATATCCTAACCGTTCGTTCGTTTATCTACACCTTTAATATGTTTTGGTTTTAAAAAGAGAAAAGTGCCATTAAAACCTTGAAATTGTAAATTAAAACCAATAAAACTTTCAATTCATGTTTGAACCAAAAAATTCTTTACTTATTTTAATTCTCATATTTTGTTGACTCACCCTATTGAAAAATCCGAATTGTCAACTGTTAAATTTGATTAAAGATAGATGTATATTAACTCTTTAAAAAAATTTGTTTCAAAAACTAATTAAATATTAATAAAAAATATTGTTTTGCTTCTTAAAACACTTAAAACATATTTTTCACAAGCTAGAATCCCAAATTGACTTCATCTTCCTCATTTTCGAGTGAAAAAAATGAAATCGATTTGAGATTCTGATTACAAGAAAAGATGCTTTAATTGTTTAAAGAAGCAAAAGTACATTTTTAACTTTGTTTGTACAATAACATCATTTAAAAAGTACACATTCATCTACTTTTTTATAATCGAGCAGTCTTGGGGAACCATCACTATAGAGGTGACTCACAAGCTCAGCTAAGCTCTCTTCTCCGTGAAATCGACAGCCGTTGGATCTGCTTCCGATCCTTCATCGTGGACGCAGAGATAGTTGAGATCTTCTTCGTCGACACTACTCCTTTCGTTAAAGAATACTACACTGAATCAGATGGTCACGTATACGACTGGCGTGCCATCCGCTCTCGCAACTCTTACGTCAAGTCCCTCCTACGTGACCTCGATGCTTCTTTAAAGAGATCCAACGCGACATGGAAGGTTATAGTTGGTCACCATGCGATTAGAAGCATTGGTCACCATGGTGACACTAAAGAGCTCGTTGAAGAGCTTCTTCCTATTTTGAAAGAGAACGGTGTTGATTTTTATATGAACGGACAAGATGTCTTCAACATGTTAGTGACCAAGATAGTCCTATACAGTTTTTGACTAGTGGTGCTGGTTCCAAAGCTTGGAGAGGAGATGTTGATCCGTTGACTAACGATCTTCTAAGTCTGTGAGATTCTATTACGATGGTCAAGGGTTCATATCTGCTCGGTTTACTTATTCAGAAGCAGAGATTGTCTTCTATAATGTCTTTGGTGAGGTTCTGCACAAATGGGTTACTTCTAAACAGCTTCACTCCTCTGTTTGATCAAAAGTTTCTTTGTACGTAATATTTGTAACATACATTTAAAGATTCTTTAAGTACTTTAGTAGGCTAGGCAAGCTTCTTGATAGGTATTAGTAATGAACCAACTCATACCCAAAAACTATTTCTAGTGTGGAGAATTGCCATATCATATTATACATTACTCTCATTCATTCATATTTCTAGATGTGGTATGTTGATAATATCCCCCCCCCCCATCACACTCAGGACGGGCATCTGAAGCGTGAAAATTGTGGGACTAGACATCCACGAGTAGGTCACAATCAAGAAATTGAAATCGTTTTGCTCTGATATCATATTGTAATAGCTTAATTGACACCCAAAAATTAGTTCTACAGTACATGATTGCTACATCACCTTATATTTTACTCCCATTCACTCATATTTTTCGATGTTTGATGTTGATAATAGGTTTAAGGGTTCTTTTTTTTTTAACACTGGATAATTATGCATTACAAACTGCGTGAAATTACATTAGACGATATTACAGCCGACAATTCTATCTGCCTTATGCGGATTCACGTCTAACTACATCACCCTAAGTCGCCTGTGAGATCCATTCCTGACGGTAAGCCTTGCGCCATGCTGAAGATTTCTTGTAAGCTTTTTCTTCAATCTGCATAATTCGCCATTCACCTTCTCTAGGAATTAAAACCCTCCTGGTGTAGAAATTGCGTAGCCTGGGATTCGAA